TATTTTAATTGTTTACAGGAAAAGGTTGAAATTGTGAAGATAGACATAGATGAAGCAGAGTGGCAAATGTTTCCAGAAATCATATTTTCTGAATCACTGAAAGACACAAAACAACTTCTAATGGAATGGCACATTTATGCAGACGAAAAACGGAAAAAGGCTATAATTTTGCATGCGTTACAAATATTACGCCATCTTTTTCGAGTAGGATTTAGAATATTTAAATTACATTACAACGTATTCTGTAATGAAACCGCTTTGGATTATAGATATTGCCCAGAAATATATTTTGTAAATATACATAAAAAGACGTAACTTTCTCAGAAACAAAACACTTATGTATAATGAAATCTCACTGTATCAAAAGCCTTAATGAACGTTTTAAATTGTGTATTGCTTAAAGTGTCGACCTTTTCACGGGTCGAATGCCTAAATATATATAATCCCTAAATAGCATTAAGCGATTGAGCAAAAAAGCGACTGAGCAAAAACCCAATTTATATGGAAAATAATCACTGGTTTAAGCACTATTGCATAAGTACTAACAAGTGATTGTTTTCAATATAAATATGCGTATATGAATGGTATAGTGCTTAAAGTAGTGTCTTTACTACTCACCTTAACGTATGTATTGTATTCTATAGTGTCATACTAAACTTATGCTGTCTGTCTTCATTTAGCTTGAGAACAGACACTTAGCTAGTTGACAGACATTTTAAGTCCTAAATCAACGAGTATACTTCGAGTATTTATTCTCCTTCCATTTCATAAAATTGAATGACAGATGTGAAACTGAGTAGAAACGCATTACAAATCAGTATACTAATTTTTGAATATAGAGGCCGTTTAGGGCAGAGATCCATTAACGAGGAATGAAGTAGATGAATTTCTGTGTGCAGAATACTATAGTGTCTCGGGTGTCGGATTTGCTACAAGTTTTGAATTGTATAACGAACGCCTCACTTCTAACGAATAAAATACCTAAATGTATACTTTGAATAATATAGTGCTTATAGGTGTCAACCTTACTATTCACGAATGGTAATCTAAATGTAGGTTTTGAAATGTACAGTGCTTAACCAATACGTCATGTTCGACGTCAGCACATATCAATATAGAGGGCGAATTTAAGTCAATTCGTATAATAGACGATTATTTTATTTACTGATAAACCACATATCTATTATCGATTAGTTAGCTTTAAACTTATTTCTTATTGTATATGTTTATTCTGCGTAGTATGTGTGATAATGATTTTTTTATGTTTTGTGATTGCATGTAAACTATGTGTCGACTCCCACCCACCTTCTCACTATTTATTATTTTTTATATTTGTACTTCTATAGGTAAATATTGATATGGTGTTTTTCTATGCTTGATTAAAGATACATTATGGGAGATTAGATAAAGAGCTGGCAGTTCTCACTATAATAGTTAAAAACTAGATAATGTAAAGGCAATTTGCTGAAAATTTCAGTCAAATTGATCCACTCTGAACCGAGATTTTAGCTATTGAATTTTCGGCCTAGCCTCGGTCATTATTACTGAAGTCGGTACGATAAAAAAAAACACAGTCTCGATTATCCATTTCATGATTAAATCATGATTATCTCAGTGGGACTTGATCTTACTCGGGTATGCCCCTTGTATTGAATCTATATGTGTATATTATATTATGTAATTCATAAACGCATATCTCCAATATTTATTGTTTAAAGGAGCTAAATCGCTAACATTTGGGACCTAGAAATTCACAAAAGTGGGTCGCAACGCATATGATACCGTAAAATGAATGTATATAAACTGATTTACATTTAATGGTTTCCGTTTTTACTCCAATTTCAAATCAGTTACGTTCGGCGAAATACGTCAGCAATCTCAATCGAGTTCAAATTTCTAGCGTCTAGTTATTCTAGTCTACATAACTCCATTTGATTTGGTGCAATGTGTCTAGCCTCGTCCCTCGAGTCTCTCAATACAACTGGGGCTGAAGCGCATTATGGTACACGATTCGTGTACCAATTTAAAAAAATTATTTTATCTTAAATATCGGATATCAGAAGCTCATCTTTTCCCGGTAAGTTTACATCATCAATGTTGATTTAAATTGACCAATAATTCGTGTTTTCGATGTCGAAGATTTTGGAGGATTTTGAGTTACGGACTTAGGTCCTTTAAAGATGTTCTTCCATCAGTTAAATAGTAACTAACGACTTGCGATATTGTTGTTTTTTTATTAATGCAATAGGAATCACATCATATATACAGACCCAAACGATTCAGTCAGGAGGAAAATTTGCACAAACCAGCATTTCAATCTAATTACAATATAGTTCTATATTTCGTTCCGTTTTTTTATACTTTCGATGGCCTACACTACATGTGTAGTAAAGACAAGTAAAATCGAAATTTTGAACTATAAAAACGAAACGAAATTGGATCTGTGTTTTAATCAGATTGCCAGCATTTGAAATAAAATGGGGTTTAACGTCCTACTGTTATGCTACGATTGGGCTAATGTAGACGGGCACACGGCCAGTGCGTTATGAGGGGAATTTTTCCCGGACAGTGGCGCCGTCCTCTTATATCGAATTCCAACTACCAAGGGTTATTTTACGAGCACGCCAATGTGTTCACAGGACCTTGGTTTTTCGTCCTGCACCATTTACAAGGGGGAACCACGCCTGCAAATCCCAATGTACTATCTAGGCCAACACCGGACTCGAACATGGGACCTCAAGGTTAGCGACCGGCATTTAATCACCTGTAGATCATAATTCTACTTGTGTTTGGATTGTTGGAGAAAAACTTTAGTGTGAGTTTCCAATATGTCCATATTGGAGCTTACGGACAATTAAGCATTTTTACCAAGATTATTAACTCATTCTTACTTTAAACTTCGTTTCATTTCATTCACACCTGATTTCTAATTGTTTTGCTTTGTTGTAAGTTAGTTATTTAAAAATATATAGAAAACCAACAAGAGTTATCTTTTCATTGGTTGTTTTTTGTATAGCATCAAACAATTGGGGTGCTTAAATCATCTGGTCGTCATTCACCCGTACCATATAAACAAACCAGTGCTACTTGGGGGCGATAAAAAGTTTCCTACTCGCTCGTTCATTTTCAATCTATGTTAAACTAGCCTCTTGTTTACGGCTGGCTTTTCCTGCATGTCTCATAGGAGGCATTTGTCTGTGATTTCACCCTCGGCGATAGTGGATGTAAAGTCCCAGAAAAGGAGAAATATTTGGTAAAATCTTTTGATGGGCCTGTTTTTAATCCGGTTATTTTGGTGATTCAACCTTCCCTTGGCCATGTGAACATCATCGTTGACCATGACAAATCGTCCAAACCCTTAAGCACAGGGAACTGCTTATGGTCATTTGGAGTTGAGTACGGCCAAAACATTGTGGCGCAAAAATACACCTCGATTCCAGCACAAAAATCATCCTTATCTTTGGTTTGCATTTGACATGTATGTCCCCTTTAGGGGCAAAAATTGAAATTGGAAAGGAGAATTAAAAATGAAAGACATTAAAATTTTACCAATAGCAAATACAATATGATACGAACAAATTTTCCAGACACCCCCCCCCCACCTCCCGCCAACACACACAATAAAAAACTGATTGGATTTGAAATAAAAGTGATATTAATTTTTTTTTTTTTTTGAGAATGAAGATTTTTTTTAATTATTTTTGCGTTACTTTTGTCCAATCAGTTATTGAATGTCCCTGAATTGAAATTACGCAACATCAGATGGACGTCTCCAAAGGTGTACAGCGCATCTAAAGGGGGATTATCAGGCTTTTTTATTATATCAGAGAGAAACCGCCCATTTACCGTTGTTGTCCGTGTTGTTGACTAATTACACGAAATGAATTGAATTGAAATGGGGTTTAACGTCCTACTGTTTTACTCAGAACCGGGCTCATGAAGACGGGCATACGCCATACAGTGTGCTATGAGGCAAATTTTGCCCAGACAGCGTCACTACGGCCTACTCTTATATCGAATTCCAACTCTCAAGGGATCTTTTACGTGCACACTAATGTGTACACGGGGCCTTGGTTTTTCGTCCCATCCGAAGGACTAGACAGCTGTCCTTGTCAGGCCCTCAGTCCTGCATCACTGACAAGGGGGGGGGGGGGGGGCACGCTTGACTAATACGATAATGACTAACTTTTGCCACCCCCTAACCTATATACGCATGCATAAACTGTAACCCAAATGTGGCTTTGTTTTTTAGCGGCACCGATTGGGCCAAGGTCTGGGGGGGGGGGGGGGTTACGTGCACGCCAATGTGTAGGCTACACGGGACTTCGTTTTTTCTTCACATCCGCACACTTATAGCCTATACCTTGTCCCTTGCCAGGATGTCCGTCCTGCACCACCGTCAAGGGGGAACCACGCCGGAAAATACCGATGAAGATATGGTCATAACTATGGTGACTGATGAATTGACTGGTAAGTTCAGTAAAACGCAAAATAACCACTGTTCATTCACAAAAAAAATACATAGCTGACTAGAATGTTGACTATGAAACAACTAAATTTACGCTCATAGATTGTATTATAGGCCTACTGTTGCAAACGATTTTTTTAGTCCGGGTAGGAGGTGAACATTTTACAACATGTAATATTATTAGGTTGCTCTCATTGTAGAGACTTAAAATTTGCAAGGTATGCGTAGCCCTAATAAACTGTATAAACTGTTATAGTCAAAAGTATGTTTTTTTTATATAGTTACTAATAAAATTGTGCGTTACTCGGGTGAAATCGGAAATCTAATGTGAACCTAGAATGCCCACTTCCGGACGCGAAACAGTAACAGATCCTTTTCAATTTGTTAAAAAGTGAAGTGTTCAATATGTATTATTTGATTATATGTACTCAATCAAAAGTTATCGTCAAAAGTAATATGTTTAATAAAATTGAGAAAATTGTGCGTTACTCGGGTGCTATCGGAAATGTCATCTGAACCTAGAATACTCACTTCCGGACGCGACAAACAAACTTTTCCAATTTGTTAGAAAGCGAAGTGTTCACAACATGCTGTGATTATAGAATAAAAAAATAAGGTCAAGCTTTACTCCTACATCCAAACTGATTGCCCAGTATCCTTAACAATAGGCCTAGTCGAGCTGAGCAATACAAAGGAGAATGGTGAGTTGAACAAACGGCAGAATGATTTATACACTACTTTATATTTTATTACTACTTGTTCCGGTACTATTTCAGTAACGTACGTCTACCAGTTCCCATGATCGTAGAGACTTGAAATTTCCAGGGGGTATTCATGGGGCCTGGCCATGACCTCACACCAAATTTCAGCCGAATCTGTTAATAACTTTTAATAAATTTCAAGAAATTGACCCATTTACAGTTCTCTACAATAACCGGTCTCGGAACTGTGCCAGGCACGCCAAATGTGGAACTCTTCACAGAAAAGTTAATTTCAGTCCCTAAGCAACTTACCTAGATGAAAACAATTGTGGCAGTGCATTTAGTTTGGGCATCCATTTTGACAGAACTGTCCAATTTTGTGGGAAAAAGGGTCAAGGTTCATTTGGCGCCTGCGCAATAATGCATACTGAGAACCGTTCTCAGACCGGATAGCATTTACACTATGAAAATTTAACTGTGCCATGCCTGGCATGCTTATGTTTAACCCGTCTACACTACAAAAAAATGAACCATGCCGTACCTGGCACGCTTAAAATGTGTTGAAACTTTTACAATTGAAGCAGTTTTTACTTGCACAAAGCCTCGTAGCCATAAAGTGTACCAATTGTCGCGTTTGTCAAGACAAGTACCACCGCTACAAATGTTTTGGAATCCATACCTTCTATTTTTCACCCCGGTAGTATGTGACAAGGAATAGGGTCGCCTGTCCAACCTCGTTGGTTTTCTGCGTGTCCTCCGGTTTCCTCCCACTGATAAAGACCCCTATGCGCAAGCGAATTATTGAAATAAAATTAAAAACAATATGTTAGTCCCGAAATGACCTAGTTTGTGTCAAGTGGACGTTAAACCCCATTTCTCTCTCTCTCTATTTTTCACTGTTAACCGGTTGGTTGGATTGCCGAATCGTTAGCATGTGCGCATTGCATCATGAGGTCTGTCATTTTGACAACTGGCGTGGTTTCAATTCCTCGGTTGTACATGACAAGGATAGGGTGGCTTATCCAACTTCTTGGGTTGAAATAAAATTGAACCAAAAATGACCTGGTTTGTGTCGAGAGGACGTTAAACCCCATTTCTCTATCCCTTTCTATTTACTACATGTATTTAGACTCAATTCTCAAGATACTAAGATGGATTTGATATGTTACAGAAAACTATTGATGATATCACTTTACTTTAATATATTATAGGAAACTAATGATGATATAACTGTTATATACATGTATTACAGGCAACTTATGATGTAAAAACTTTCCATCAGTGTGTTGTATGTAATGAGATATTTGAACAAAATGATGATTTAGAAAAGCACAATAAAATACATGTTAAAGAAGAGAGAACAGTTGACATGACTATCAAATGTGCTATACCTTTTGCCGGAATAAAAACTGAGAATGTTGAAACTGTTTATCAGTGTAGATTGTGTCATCAAGAATTTGAATCGGACACAGATTTAGAGGAACATTGTCGAATACATGTTAATGAAGAGAAATTAATAGCAAATATTTCGCAACAAAATACAGATTGTGAAAAGAGTGAATGTAATCAAGAATCTAAATCTTACACTGATTTAGAGGAAGATTGTCAAATATATGTTAAAGAAGAGAAAGTAATAAAATATTTTTCACAAAAAAGTACAGATATGGCGTATAAGATACCAGAACCAACATGTTTTAAGTGTGATGTTTGTGGTAAATCATTTAATAAGCGCTTATATTTATACACACACAAGGGAATTCATACAGGACAAAACCCCTTTAAATGTGATGTTTGTAATAAATCATTTCATAAAAGGCATTATCTACAGTCACACAGCAGAGTCCATACTGGAGAGACACCTTTTAAATGTGATGTGTGTAACGATTCATTTCGTTATTTCATTAGTCTCCAAAGACACACAAAGACTCATACTCGATTGACACCATTTAAATGTGATGTTTGTAGCGATTCATTTCGTTATTCCATTAGTCTCCAAAGACACACAAGAACTCATGTGGGAGGAAAACCTTACAAATGTGATGTTTGTAATGAATCATTTCGTTATTCCATTAGTCTCCAAAGACACACAAGAACTCATGCTGGAGAAACAACTTTCAAATGTGATGTTTGTGGTAAATCATTTAGTCAGTTTGCTCTTCACAAGAAGCATGTAAGAAGTCATTCTTGTGTAAGACTGTTTAGATGTGATATTTGTGGTAAATATTTTATCCAGAATAGTCATCTACAGACACATATTAGAATTCATACTGGAGTGAAACCTTTTAAATGTGATGTTTGTGATCAATTATTCAATGAAAAAATTAATTTACAGAATCACATTAAGAGCCATCTAGGAGACAGAATCTATTAAAGGAACAATAACACTCTTGCTGGCTTGACAGCTCCAGACAATAAAAAATAGCCTTATTCTAAGTACTAGATGTGTTAGTGTCTTACCTGTTGTGTAAATTATCCATTAAATCCAATTTTACTTGTCGAGAGGGTTCAAAAATATTTTTAAATCCAAGTCACATTTGAAAAGCTTTACGTGGGGCTTTTCAAATCATTTAGTTGAATTTTTCCAATTTTTTTAAATTAGGTGTGTTAAGATGAAATTTGTATCATCAATTAATTGGAATATTGTAAAATAGTACAATTTGTTGACCAGAATAAAGATTGGGACATATTATTCAGTTACGACAAGAGTGGTATTGAGCCTTTAAGGATGTAAACGGTTAACCAGTCACAGTTCGGTTGCACCTTCAAACCCAGGAATGATAGCCACAACATTGTTTTCTTTCACTAAGCCCTCATAAATATTTCAAATAGCACTTGTCATTTGTAATAAGTCTCGGGAAGTTGACGTCTTTAAATTCCCGCTCAAAGTTTTGACATGTGTATGTTATTTATAGCACTCACTGCCAAGCATTAAATAATCTCAACTGATTGACAAATTAATTGTTTTACAGTATTAACCTCATTACTCCACAAGGTCTCAAAATGAAACAAGTATGATGTGATGAAATAATATTGAAATAGAGAGGATATCATAGTAAAATTGTTTATATTATCACTCGAGTGTGCGATGCTGTGTTGTCAAAGTTGACATACTGGTCACTGGTACCATGGGATACAGCATGGCTTGTGATAGAAAAACATGTAGTAAATTCTTTTTTTTTTAAAAAAATCAACATGATTTCAATTCAACTGGTCTATAGCTCATTACGTGACCGGTCAGCACGCAAGATGGAGAAATGAAACATCAAGAATGAATGAATGAATGGAATTTGTACTGACTGTTAACTTAAAAGTTGTAATACTAAAAATTTAAAAATATATTATTAAGTCTTATTTTGGTGCAACAAATATTTTGATAGAAAATTTTTATGGGTTAACCGGTTACAGTTGGGTTTTTAACGAACAGTTAACCGGTTCAAGAATTTTTGAACCATTATATCCTTAGAATCTATAGTCGCATATGAGAACACATTCCAGAGAAAATACATTTAGATGTGATGCTGGTCCTGTCCTAAAGCACCTGAGAACCATCAGTATAAACAAAACATATAGCCTACATGTAAAGATGAAACATTCAATATATACTATTCAAAAAAAGTTGGATATTTGATTTTTAAGTGTTATTAAAGTCACCTAATGAAACTGACGAAGAAACAAATGACAAAATGAAATGAAGTTCACATTCATCGATTTATTCCAAATGATCGTTAGACTAAGTAAGGCACAGACTGACCATTATAAGGGTAAAATGATACCCGGGGTCAAACAGCAAAGTTACCACAGCATCACAACCAAGTCAGTAACGGGTAAATCCTCCTCTGTTTGCCAAACAAGCATTGATCCGACGTGGCATACTCCTAATGAGACGTCTAAGGTCATTTTGGTCCAGATTGTCCCATTCCTGTTGCAACGCAGCAGCAAGTTCTTAGACATTGGCAGGACGTTGTTGACGTTGACGTAACCTCTGTCCAAGCATGTCCCAGACATGCTCGATGGGGGAGAGGTCGGGACTCAGTGCTGGCCAAGGTAATGTGGTGATGTTCTGTTGTTGGAGGTAACCTGTAACGATCCTGGCCCTGTGACATCTTGCGTTGTCATCCTGGAAGATGAAACGGCGGCCATGAGGTCGTGCGAACGGCACAACATGGACTGCCAAGATGTTGTCCCGGTAGTACTGGCCTGCAACAACATGTAAAGCCGTTCTTCCAGCAACAGTGATGCCTCCCCACACCATAACAGAACCACCCCCAAATCGATCATGTCTGATGACGTTAACGTCTTGGAAGCGCTCGTTTCGACGACGCCACACCCTCCTATGTCTGTCCAAAAAATCAACAGTGAACCTTGACTCATCTGAAAACATCACATTGCTCCAGCGTCGATTATCCCAGTGTTGACGATCCCTACACCAGCGACGTCTTGCCTTAATGTGATGATCTCTCAAACAAGGGATCACGCGAGGACGTCGGGCGCGAAGGTGACCCCTATGCAGTCGATTCCGAATCGTCTGGCCACTCACTCTCACACCAGTGTCTGTTTGAAGACGAGCGCTGATCTGATTTGCTGTGATGACACGATTTCTCAAGGCCAAGGTACGGATAAATCGATCCTGGGCTTGAGTTGTCGCCCTTGGTCGACCTGAGCGTGGTCTGTCCTGTACAGATTGTGTATCACGGTATCTGGACCATAGCCTGCTTATGACAGACTGAGAAACATTCATCGTCCGCGCCACAACCGCCTGTGTTGTGCCGATCTGTAGCATGCCAAGGGCACGTAACCTTTCATTTTGGGTAAGCCGACGCATATCAAAATTTGTTTTCTGGTCACTAAAACAATTAAACTGATGTTTCCACCCTGGAATTCAATCCCACAATGACTGTAACATTCAAAGTCAGAGTCGTGCAAATCTTGGGTTGGACCCCCATGATGATCCCAAGCATCACCTGCATTCCATGCGGTAGCTATTGGTGCGTTTGGGCGTCACATGTAACTGGAAATGTTTCTTCTGTTAGGTTCTATAGTGACTTTTTTCGTAGTCATTTGCATATTTTAGTATTATGCCCCCAAAATCAAATATCCCCTACTTTTTTTGAATAGTATATTTGTCAGACACATAAAGAAATCTAAGACATTAGAAGCCATCTTGCAGACAGTATCTATAGTCGCATATGAGAACACATTCCAGAGAAAATGCATTTAGATGTGATGTTAGACCTGTCATACATGTAAAGCACCTGAAAACCGTCAGTAGAAACAAAATGTATACATGTAAAGGTGAAACATTTAATAAATTTGTCAGATACATAAAGAACTCTAAGGCTGGAGATAAGCCTTATGTTTTGATGTCTGTAGAATGTACAGTGTACATAATGATTCAATACAAAAATTACTCCTCAGGATCACATCAAAAGTCATACTTGAGAAAAACCTTATAAATGTGATATTTTTAGTAATTCATTTAAAGCTAAAAGCTATGTTACAGTACACATGAGAATTCATACTGGATAAAAAACCTTATAAATGTGATATTTTTAGTAATTCATTTAAAGCTAAAAGCTATGATAATTTACAAGGAAAGATATTTAGATATCTCATACTACATATGTAATATTTTTTATCTTTTAAAAGGAAAACTTTTCAAATGCGATGTTTGTTGTAAATTATTTTGAAAATCCAATTCGGAAGCAATTCAAAATGGCATCCAAAATGGCGGATTTGAAGTTAATCATCATTTTGTCCCGTTGGATATGACTTTTAACATGTCATTTATATGGTTTTCGGAGTTGCTGGGTTCAATTCTGATCTCAAATAAAATTCGAGAATCCAGAATGGCAGATATGCAAAATGGCAACCACAATGAAATCCCAAACGGCGGAATTTTAATTAATCATTAAAATTTGTACTTCCGTTAAATATGACGCGTAATATGTATAAGGGTTTTGAGTCTGAGCGGTTGCGGAGTTGAATTTCTATCCAAAAAAACTAATTATGAATAACCCTGATGGGGTAAATTTAAAACGACAATGAAAATAGAATCCAATATGGCGAATTTTGTTCCTGTGGATATCGCTTGAAAAAGAAAGTTTTCAGAGTTACTGAGTTCAATTTGGTGTTCAAAATTTAATTTCCGATAAGATTGTCAGACATAGAATTAGTGCATAAGCTGAAAACATCACGACATACGGTACCATAGAAACATCATTGACAGTCAGTTTTTCAAGAGAAATCCCTGCATTGGCCGAGAAAGTTCATCAAGATTTCCCGACGTGGTTTCATCTTGTCAGTGGTGCAGGACAGTTGTCTAGTTGTTCGGTTGGGACAAAAAAACCTGAGGTCCCGTGTGGACATTGGCGTGCACGTAAAAGATCCCTTGCCAGTTGGAATTCGAATCCGGAGGGGTTCCCTCAAACGTGCGGCAGTCTTAACAATTCATCAAAAACAACGTAAATTCTGGGCCCGATTCCTAGAAAATTCTTAAGCACGTTCTTGTGCTTATATTTAAGTAGACTTTGCATTTAAGTAAACTTACCTTATTTTGTGTTCCCGGAAAATTCTTAAGAACGTTCTTGTGCTTAGATTTTAAGTAGACTTAATAAACGATAAGTTAATTAATGTCTAATTAATAACTTAGATAACATAATCAACTCTCGATGTCATCGCTAGCCTGCGATATTTACTGGATTAGTAACCGATTTGTTGCTCAACTTTTTATCGTACCAACTTTAGTAGTGATGATCCAGCTTAGCCGAAAATTCAATCGTTAAATTCTCGGTTCAAAGTGGATCAATTTGACTGAAATTTTCCACAAATTTCCTTTACAGTATCTAGTTTTTAACTATTATATTAAAAACTGCCAGCTCTTTATCTAATCTTCTTTCATGTATCTTTAACAAGTGGAAATATCGAACCCACTTTTACGCCTGTGAAGATAGTGTAAAGACATGCCAAATGAAGAATATTTGCACTAAAAAAACAAAACAAATGCTAAACAGATGTTTAGATTCGTTAAATTTATTTTTGAACCCAAAATAGAGTTCAGTAACTCTGAAAACCTTATTAGATATATTTTAAAACCAATATCCACATGTAAGAATCCCCCATTATGCATTCTATTTTGATTGCCGTTTTAAATCTGAATAAAAATATTGTTTATAAAAAAAATCTGGCTGTTTTTTGGTGTCGGAATTGAACTCAGTAACCTAAAAAAAAAGTTTGTTTAAGACATTTTTCAAGCCATATCCAATGGAAGAAAATGACGATTAATTATAAATCCGCCATATTGGACCTGAAAACCAAATGACATCGAAAACCAAGTGAAAGACATTCAAGTCATGATTAATTTAAAATCAGATATTTTGGAATCCAATTTGGCTGCCCTTTTGGAGTTCTGCTATGGTGGCTTTTTAAAATCCATTTTTAAATTCAGAGACACCAAAAAACATATAAACGACATATATGGGGACAATGCCATTCTATTACCAAATTTGGCATTCTTTTTGATAAAAGGTGACTGGCACCATGTGCAAAATAGTTTTTTGGGTTTTTTTATTCGTTTTGCCAAATTTGTTATTTTTGGAACATATCACCTCTTAAACCCACTTTGTTTTGTAAGATTTTAACAAAAATCCATTTATTGTCCCTAGGACCCATGGTCTAAGTGAGTAAGACGCTGACTCGCTAGGCTGAAGGTCGCGGGTTCGCTCCCGGTGTTGGCCCAGAAAGTTCATCGGGGTTTTTCCGGCGTAGATTCACCCTTGTCAGTGGTACACGACAGAGTCCTGACGTTTGGATGACGCAAAAAAACGGGTCCCGTATACAAATTGGCGTGCACGTAAAAGACCCCGTGGCAGTTGGAATTCCATGTAAGAGTAGGCCGTAGCGCCGTTGTCCAGGCAAAACTTCCCTCATTGCACACTGTATGTCGTATGCCCCTCTTCATTAGCCCATTCGGAGCAAAACAGTAGGACGTTAAACCCTATTTCATTTTTTATTGTCCCGCCACTGAAACGCACTGGTTACGAGATATCGCTCTCGGAAACTTCCTGGGGACCAACATATTGAATTACGTTATTTACGTAATTCAGGTCGAATTTGAGTATGATGTTTTCTAATATAAGTATGATTGAACCCAACTGCATTGGCTTCTTTTGCAATTTGTTTGGGGTTACTCCACGTTTGAGATTAACATGACCTGCCTACAAACCTATTGATCAATTTTTAATCGTAACAAAGCTGATTCTTCGGACGATTGAACTTAAACTTTTCAATCCTACAAAGGAATGGTCTCATCATGAATACAAAACAGCAGGAAAAGTAATAGGTGGGTTAAATACATCCAAACGTAATAATTAC